AATCTTCATCTTAGGCTTCCTGTGAAATACATTCCCCATTTCCCTCTCTCCTCCCTGCCTCTCCACTCTCCTCCTCCAGTATTCATAATTCTCAGAGGATTCCTCAACCAGCACATCAAGCTTTTTCTTGCTGTCTACAAAAAAGAATCACATAGGATTCCAGACATCAAAGATCTCAGCAAAACACTAACTATATGTAGTGATGTGGAGATAAAAGACCCAGGTAATAAAATCTGAAAGAGGGAAGAGTACAAAAGGTCTCTTTTATAACAAAATAGTAAAGGAGAAAAAAAAGAAGGGGGTCAACAGAGGAAAGAAAACCACACTAATTACTCTGTACATTTATATAAAGCATTTGCACAACATGCATTATTACATTTGAACCATACTCAAAGAAGGTGGATCAATAACTAATATTAGATCAGTTTTAAACTAGTGGCACATTGCAAAGGGAAAGAGAAGCCCAAATGTCTTGGTCAGGTAGGGCCACATCTCCCCTCAATACATGTCACTAGCCATTCATATCCTTGCACTGTTTCAGCAGTTCCCTGAAAAATGTACTCAAAGGCAGACTTGATCTGGGATGGGGTAGGTTCTCAGAAGACTTCTGCCAGCACTTTGTAAACCTGAGCAATGAGGGTTTCAATGACACCCAAGGCTGCCTTCCTTGGCAAGTGGGGGATAATATAGTTAAAAAGAGTAAGAGATAAAAGCCTCCAACACATTTTCAGGGTCAGGCATATTAATTAATGCCTGTTGTCTACTGCTTATAGTCCTACTTTATTGGAGGCAGAAACTGATCAAGAAATAGTGCCTTCAACCCCCCTTGGACTCCATTATTTTTACATGATGCTCTGAGCCACATAAAGAATTGTTATTCACTTGTGAATGAATGACATGGTTACATCTATGCCAAGTTAATAAACATCATATAATTGAGGGAAAAGCTCTAATTCCCCTTTCTCATTTTTACTGGGAATATAATTTTCTCTTCATCTCAATATATCAGGAAGAAAAGAACTGGTAAATTTCTAAAGTACCTGAAACTGAAAAGTGACAACATTATAATAATGCAAGTAGGCCTTATAAGTAACCAGAAAATGGTGGGAGAAGAAATCTGTGGTTTATAGTTAATGACTACTTCTGGAAACTACACTTTCTTAAAAAAATTTGGACAATTAAATAACTTTATTAATTTAGTCAATGAATGGAAATTACATACTCCCTAGTGCATACTGCACACATTGTTGCCACCAGAATTGTTATGAAACTATTCTAAGCTCATGAAATATCTCTAGAATGTCCATATGTCTTCACATCAGCTATTCGTAAATGCTTTGGCCATTTTCTTGCCAATATTCTTTACGAACATTCTTTCACCTCTGATGAGGCACAGGCCAATAACAACTAACTGTGGGCACCTAACTATTTTGCGCTGGTTAACCTTATTAAACTTTGGGTGAACTCCTACAAATAAGTTGTACAGTTTTTGAGATATAGTGCTAACTTAGTACTATGTGCCAACCACTCACAAAACTATACAACTCGTACAAATAAGTTGTATAGATTTTGAGATCCACATAGATATAGTATACCTAGTACTATGTGACAACCACTATTGTAAGCATGTTACATATAATAATCCTCAAAACAAGCCTATGAAGTTAGTACAAGCAGTTGAGCAAGAACACTGGTAACAGGGGAGTTAGTTCACTTAGCCATTACTCAGCAATGATCAGTTTTTACCTAAAAGTCACATGGAGCCAGAAAAAATATCTAAATATACAATTGAAGAAAAATAAATTTCCTACAACTAATATTTTTTTCTATATATAATAATATTGGCTAGCTATAGAAGATAACTTCTGTTCCCCTTCTGATTTCATTTACCCCAAACTGGTTCAAATTTTATCTGCTAGTAAAGTTCAAAAGGAAGAGTAAATTCTTTTAGACTAGGCATAGCTAACTTGTCCTCGACACCCAGATGCAGTGGGCTAAATTAGGCCACAAAAATCTAAATGGACAATGGAATCCTACCACCATTCTACGTAGGACCTTGTTTAATTTTTTTAACCTTTTACTATCACTATTCAGAAAGTTTTCCAAAAAGGTTAAAAAAAAAAAAAAAAAAAAAGAAAAAAGGTAAAAGAGAAGGAAAGCCAAAAGCTGCAAAATTCTTCCATTTGAAGAAAGGCTTAAGAGACCACAGTGGGACTGAACACTCCCAAGAAGGTGTGAAAACATTATAACACACAGAGATTTAAAGAACCAAGTAGAACTAAGTTACATGTGATTTTGTGAGAAATGGTAGATTATAGGACACCACAAAAAGCACTACTGTGTTCTCACTGTAGTTCATATGAGAGCCTTGGATACCCACAGGATTGTATTTTGTACAGAACTATTTAGGAAATGCTAAAATTTTAGGAGACAAAAATAGGTGTTGTTCTTATGCTAATTAACAAAAATTAATTTATAAGCTGTAATTGGCTAAATGGCTATCTGCAAAGAAGATAAGTCCACATTACCATTGAGAAGACTAAGTCCACATTACCTTCAGGTTAACTTTTGTAGGCCTTCACCATTTCTCACCTGATTTAGGACACTGGCATTCTAATGATATTCTGTTTCAAACTCTCCCATCCAACTTTTGCATTGTCACTAATCACACCTAAGTAATAAAGAACCTTCAATTGTTTGGTTCCGTTAGTCACAGGATAAAGACCAAACTCCTTAGCACTGCACATCTATACCCTGTTCCCTTTCCAGCTATTCTCCCAAATGTGCCATTCATGTGTAGGTGCTCCCTTCACAATCTCCATCCAGTCCCCAACCAAACACTAGCCCTCATGCACCACCTCCCTTTCTGTGGTGGTCAGATCCCAAACCAGCCCCGTGTGTTTGTGTCTCAGCCCCTGCAGGGGCAGCCCTCATTTCCTCAAAATGACAAGCAGTTTCATGCCTCTGTGTGCTTGCATATGTTACCCCATCTGGTGTCTGGAATGCCTTTCATTCTACCCCTCTGCTTCCTCTGCCTGATTAAATTCATCCATTAGGACTCAGTCTTACATCTTCTGGGAAGCTTCCCTGACACCCACACCACCCTTGGATGGGTCAGAAGCTCTTTGGACACTGCACTGTATTCCCCCCCTAAATTAATGAACTGCTTTAATACTTTCTAGCTGAGTGACCTTGATAAGTTCATTTCACTGAGCCCATTTCTTCATATACAGAATGTTAGCATTAATTTGCTATCACTGTGAAATAAGTGTCAAAAATCACTTTGTAAATAGTGAAGCACCATGCAAACATTAACAATTTTATCATAAACCAAAGAAGCACATAGTATTCTAGAATATCCTTCAGTTTACTCTAAGGGTAAGATTCATCTCTTGGTTTCCAGTCCCATCTCCAAGGATGCCCTGCATTGTTACCCAATTTTCTGGTTCCATTAAGACCTTGTGCTTCTATCTTCAGGAAAAAATCTACAGTGATGTTTAGGTCATTTGAAGAAAACACTAAGTGGGAAGCTCCTGAAAGGTAAGAGTTTTCCTTTTTCCCACGTTTCCTAATGCTTTCACCAGAGTACTGTGTTGTGCATATACATACTCAGTAAATATAAAAGAACTGAATGAATGAATGAATACAGGCATACACTGTCCTTAGTGAACTTATAATCAAAAGGAGTGATATAACAGATCCTACATGAATTTGACCTTATAAAAATGGTAACAAATACCTTTAACGTCATCTTAAAGTGAAGTAAGAAATTAAATTTCCTGATATGCTTATTTTATTTGGTAATTTGACACATGTTGTAATTGCTGTCTTAGTAACTCATGATTAACATATGAATGTTTTAACACTATCAGAATCACTGATGTAATTCAATACCTAGTTATGGAATATATCCACTGCACTAGCTCCTAAGAGTATAAAAAGCTGCTAAACAAATCATCAATACATATAATTAACACAAGATAGAATGTTGTAAGACGTATGGAGAACCTAGGGGTAGTGACAGTCAACGAAGATATTTTGAGTTTGGGCACTGCGCTCATAAAGATTAAAATTGTACTTTACAAATTATTGGTGGCCAATAACTTCGGTTACTGTTGAATATCTACTATATACTCCATATGTAATATTTGCTGCATGAAACAACAGATATCTCTGATCGCCTTCCTCCTTACTCTAATTATAAACCTAATTGTATTACTGTCTAACATTCTTAACACTCAATTCCTTTAGGTATACTTTCTCATTTACTTTCTACAATAGCCCTATGAAATAAGTACAATTATCCCCATTTTACCGATGAGGAAAACGAAGCATAGCACTTGTAATTTTTCAAGGTTAACAGACAAAAATAAAATACGCTAATGAGGTCCTAAGAGCCAAAAACAAGTATTCCAGAGTGAGCGGACCCACCTGCCAGAACTGCTCCACGCAGTGATTTCTACCTCTTCCAAATACACCCAGTGGGAACAACCTATCTCCTTTCTTTCCTGCCAGGGATTAATTTCCTTTTCCTGAGTTCATATCTGAACTGCTGATTCTCGTGCAGAACATCTCAAACCTTCCCACTCCAGAGGACATGCTGCTATTTAAAATCACAGGCTGTTCGGGGTAAAAGAGATGGAACCAGGTCCCCAGGTGGACAAAGCTCTGGTAGGATCACGAAATTAATCCTTTCGGGTTGGGGGTCGGTTCCTGCACCACCTCCAGCGGACGGCAGCAGCACCCAGTTCACCCAGGAGGCGCTATAGCCGTCGGTATCCTCTCCTCCTGACCCCAGGCAGTAGCTTGGGTTTTGCCATCTGCTCATTTACCCTTCACCTGCTGGCGCTCCCTGCACAATCTCCATCCTGCCCCGACCAAACGCCAGGCCTCACGTGCCACTCTCTTAGCGGCGGCCAAGTCCCAAACCCAGCCCGGTGAGTGTCGTACGTAACCTGAACGAACAGCCAGTCCCGCCCAAACCCCGGCCTTCTACTCACGGTTCCAGTACACCGGGTAGCACTCTCCTTGGGTCACATCCACCTCATAGAGGCCGCCCCGCACGCACACTGGCTCGATGTTCACCAGCTCTACCATCTCGGGCTCGTGCCCCGCCGTGAGCGGGCAGAAGCCGCAGGCGCGGTCCTCGTCGTCTTCCCCGGAGCTGAAGGCCGGGCCCGCCGGGGAGGACGGGCCGCAGACATGCTCGCCGTCGCGGTCCTCGGCCTGGGGCCGGGCACCCGCGGCCTGCAGCAGGGTCCGGAAGGCGAGCTCGATGCGGAGCGAGTCGTAGCCGATGAAGGGTTTCCAGGTCTTCTTGTCCTCCTTGTAGAACCAGCGCACCTCCTCTGGGCCCAGCTCCGTCACCACCTCGTAGCGGTGCCGGGCGGCCGGGCCGCCGGGCCGGGTGCGCTTCCTTTCCCCGGGGCCCCCTCCCACTGCCCCGCCACCCCTGGAGTTCGTCGGGACCAGCGGCGGCTGCTGCGGTGGGTGCAGCGACGAGGAGCTGCCGCCCTCGCCCTCGCTGTAGTAGCGCAACGAGGAGCCGGACTCCGTGGAGCTGAAGTCATAGTTCTCGTCACTGAGGCAGGGGTCCAGCGCCAAGTGGTGGTTGTGGTCCTCGGCGCCCGGCGCCAGTTGCAGCCCGGAGTCCCTGCTCAGTAGGGCCAGGGGCACGTCGCCGTCGCCGTCGCCCAGGTCTCCGCCAGGCAGGTGCTCGAAGAAGCAGACGGTGCCGCCCAACGCCGTTCCCGCATCCGAGCCCAGCTCCCAGGCGCCGCCGCCCCGGCCGTTTTGCTCGGGGCTGCGCGGGGACCCGCGGCCCGGGTAATTCATGGTATGGAGATGCCGCCGGCTGCGCGGCCACGCGCAGACCCGTGACCCCCAGCGCTTCCGCTACTCATTCAGTGCCGCCGCCCTCTCTACCCGTAATAACTTCGTATAGCATACATTATACGAAGTTATACGAATTATACTTTTTATCCCATTAAGCTACTCATTTGTCAGTGATTCCACATTTCTTGTGGGCACGATTTCCCTTTACTAATACAGACTCACAAGATTAGAATTGTAGGTTATATTTGGTAACTATAAAAAATGTTTATCCTTGTTCTACTTTTTTGTTTTGTTTTGTTGGCAGCTAGCTAGTACGAGGATGCAAACCCCTGACCTTGGTTTTATCAGCATCCCCGCTCTAACCAAATGAGCTAACGGGCCAGCCCTTGTTCTACTTTTTAACTGAGTGTTTAGGAATGTATTGTGGCAAAAAAGAAGGTACTGTCTGTATCCATATCAATGCTGCCAGCTTTTCTTGATAACATACACAGTTTAAATTCTATCACACTCTTGAAAAGATAAAAGTCTTAGGTCTGATTCTCAGTTATTCGGGAGGGATTCCAGAACTACCTACCTCCCAATCTCTTCTGCCAATAATCTTCATCTTAGGCTTCCTGTGAAATACATTACCCATTTCCCTCTCTCCTTCCTGCCTCTCCACTCTCCTCCTCCAGTATTCATAATTCTCAGAGGATTCCTCAACCAGCACATCAAGCTTTTTCTTGCTGTCTACAAAAAATGCGGCCTTGCCTGCCTGGGCCTTCTCTGTCACCTGGTTCTGGTCCCTCTAGAGTTGTCGGCCCACAGGAGGGTACTCCACCCCACGCCTACCACTCACCTCCACGTAACCACTCCCACTCAGAAACTGAGTCTAAACCGCCCTTTATATGCCATCTCATATCATTGCTTGTCTTCCAGTACTTGGATTTCCTGTTTTCTCAACCTCACTGTAAAGCCCTTGACGGAAACCAAGTTTATATATTTCACTCCGCGTCTCCCCCGCAGTGGGTGCACAATCGATGTTTGTCGATCATAATGATGGCAAGTCCAGCCAGGTGTGGCGGGAAGATTATTAGACTGAAAGCCAGAAAACAACTAGGTTCTGGGCTTGGCTCTGCTAGCTAACCGCAGGCAAATCACTTAATCTTCCTGATCTTTTTGATTTCCTCATCTGTGAAATTCAGAGATTATTGGACCAGCTGATTTCTTTTCTTTTTTTTTTTTTTAAAAGATGACCGGTAAGGGGATCTTAACCCTTGACTTGGTGCTGTCAGCACCACGCTCACCCAGTGAGCAAACCAGCCATCACCTATATGGGATCCGAACCCGTGGCCTTGGTGTTATCAGCACCGCACTCTCCCGAGTGAGCCACAGGCCGGCCCGGACGAGCTGATTTCTAAAATTTCTTCCACAATGGAATTTTATGATCCTTAAGGCTTCTTCCAGCTTTTTACGCATCTCTGATATTGTAACTCAGTTTTTGGGGTGAGGTTAAATACTGAGTCTCCTTTATGTGATTCTTTTATATTAAAAAAATTATTTTAGGGCCGGCCCGTGGCTCACTCGGGAGAGTGCGGTGCTGATAACACCAAGGCCGCGGGTTCGGATCCCATATAGGGATGGCCGGTTCGCTCACTGGCTGAGCGTGGTGCTGACAACACCAAGCCAAGGGTTAAGATCCCCTTACCGGTCATCTTTAAAAAAAAAAAATTATTTTATAACGATTGTTGAGAATCCAGAGAAAAACAGTCTCCAACCTAAGTGTTCTCTATTCAGGAACAGACAGTCTTCACTGTTTCTTTTACTCCCTTTGTGGTGGAATCAGATTGCTGAAGCAATTTTTCCTGCTCATGGGATCTAACTGGTCAGAGATTACTCTAAATCGTTATGTAAATCAGGATCATCTCTAGTTTGTACAGTGCCTTTGTAGGAATTTGGAAAAAGGCATTGTTTCTTGGGGGCAGAGACAGAGCAGTGTTGGGGTACATGGCTTGGAAGGTGGGAAGCACGGGTTGGATTTTTTGCCCCAACTTGTGCCATTGGCTGGATAATCTTGTGCAGTGAACAACACACCCAGTTGTATACAGCAGTGCTGACTCAAAGCATCTAAGATCAGAAACCTCTTTCTCATTCATAGTGCTTTCTGAATACCTACTCCAATGTTCAGAATATGAAATTGGGTACGAGCTTTGATTTGTTTACTACCCATGAAAGCATTCATTCTACACTGATTGATGGCCATCTATGTGCCATCTATGAAACGGAAGAGAATGGAAAAGACTAAGTTCCCTTTTCAAGTAATTTACAGCCTACTGAGGGATACAGACAAGTAAACAGGTACATTATAGAACCGTGTGAAACGTACTATAAAGGGGATTAAAAATAAGGCATATCACAACATTTAAAATATCTCTATTCCTTTATGTTTCTTGATGGGATATAGCCTAACTATATCGTTATTTGTTCAGGTTATTTTAGCAAAATTTTAATTCTTAAGGACTATACCATTTCTGTTAATGAATATTGTCCTCTGTAGAACAATTATTGCCTGATTTGTACTGAATGAGTGTTTTTATTGTTTGTGTTGTGCTTGTTTGTTTATTTTGAGAAAATTATCCTCTTATGATTCATTGGGTAAGGCCACATACTTTTAGGTAATGTGATCTTTCTTGAGGGAGATGTTGATTCTCAACATAATTCGGGTAGCAGGAGGAGGGAGTCCTAGATTCTCTTCTGACCTCACTATCTTAGTGTAGACCTTGGTGAGTGTAGATGTCAGTCAGTTTTTGTAGGAATTGACTTCTGCCCCTTGGAAGTTAGCTGGGGCTGGGAGGACAGACCTATGTAGTAAGCCCCAGGCTGACAGTAAGTAAAAGATATTTGAAAGTATATTACCTAATTTCATGTGACTATGTATATTTATTTCCTTTTTATTCCTTAGCCATATTAAGGAAAATGTCATGAAGCTGCTCTTCTCAACTTTCTTTCCTGCTTTAAAAAGCCATCCTTTATCTAATGCTTCCTGTTACTACTCTCCTTCTTTTGCTTTCCAGAACATCTTTTCAGATCACATGATCCTGATAAGAGGGGGAAGGGTTGGGGCTCCCATTCCAGTTCACATCTGCTAAAACACGAGTAATGAGGTGGTGCCTCATTATGTCATTAGTGCGTTCAATGGACACAGCAGTATCTAAACTTCCATAGTTCTATCTAAAGCATTCTATTATTATTTTTTAATAATTACCCAAGACCAACCCTCCTTCACATAAGGCAGATAAGCACGATTGATTCAGACTTCTGGCATTCATTGGCCCGTGCTATTGCAAGAACCAGGTGAATGTGTAACCAAACCTGAAGGAGTTCTTGGTGTGGGGAAAGAAAAAGAGGTAAAGCCAGCTGGTTTGTACTATAAAAGACTGAAACAACTCATCTGCCTGTTCTACCATCCTCTCTTTCCCATTAGGCATATAGCAGGGGCTATCTGGTAATAACAGCCCTCTTCTCCATGCCTCTGAAAAGTTACATGGTTCAATTTTGTGCCATCTTCCTTTTTTCTTCTCTCTTAAAGCTTGTCCCTGTTGTTCATTTTAATCTTTTTTCACCTTCATAAAAATATTAGGGATATCCTTGTGCTGTGTAATTTATTCTGAGTCAATAGCCCACACATGCACTTGAAATGACTTCATCCAAAGTGTATGATGGAATACATATATTTAGAATGAAGAAAGAGGGAAGACATATAACCATACCCCCATCTGCTGTATCTCCTGTTTGATTTATTTAAAATTTTATTTTACTTTTTATTTTTAGGATAACTATTTATCCTGTTTCTTAAAATGAGAATGTGTTCTTTGGTGCACTCATGAAATAGAACAACCTAGACTGAAGCAGGAATCATTCACTGGACATATATTAGGTGTCTACCAAGTTTTGGCACTATGCGAGGCTCTCCATGAGGCATTCATAGGCTAATGGTATCTTTAAAATGAAACCATAATGCCAACTTTTAAATTCCTATGAGTAATATAATTGTAATGTCAATATAGCTGCATCACTACCACTAGGGTCATTTTGCCCCTAAAGACAGATCAATAGAGGAAACCAAATTATAATTCAAAAAGAGTTAGTTGAGCAGAAGTAACATAGGAATACAAAACATAATGAATAAAGTCATTCAGCCTTCCATTTATTCATTCAGCAAATATTTATTGTCTAGTGTTACTTTAAAGATGGTTTTGTTTTAGTTGAGCAGAAGTAACATAGGAATACAAAACATAATGAATAAAGTCATTCATCCTTCCATTTATTCATTCAGCAAATATTTATTGTCTAGTGTTACTTTAAAGATGGTTTTGTTTTATTTTTATTTTTACCTGGAATCACACTTAATATTTAGAATTATCAAATGCATTTACTTAAAGATTTGTAAGAGACCTATTTACAAAACTGTACTTACTGAAAACTCATAAAAAATATTTTTTATTTCTTTGGTAAATAAAGGTCAATGGTATTGAAGGTATATATTCAAATTAAAGAAAATGTAAATCAATACGATATTGATGTATACTCTATTGAGGCAGCCACAAAATCCTCATTAGTTTGTTCATATCAGAAAGAGAAGATTTAGCTACATTCCTGCCCTTTCATTATAGACAAATGAGTTGGGCCATAGCCATAGGTCCACATTACGCGTCCGTTGTAGATATATTTGATGACGCTATGCTCTAGGATTTTTCCCACCTCACTCGAGAGGTAAATTGAAAGTACATATTTGTTCATAAAGTATATAGTATATAACTCATATGTGCCTTCAATAAAAAGTAATTGATAATAATAACACCATGCTGAGATTTACAGGTAGCAGCTTGTATAAGTGTATTTTATTCTGATTTTTCATACAACAAGTTAAAAAGGAAAGAAAAGAGAGGCTGTGTTCCAATAAGGATTTTCATTAGTGCAACTCTGAGTAATTTGCTAAGTTTTTAGAGGACTGAACAACAGAATCAATTTACTGTTTTTGCAACTGCTGCTTAAGAAAGTATGTTTATCCTTACATCATAAGTCAGCATTTCAAATTTAAGTTTTCAGCTTAA